AAATCTTCACTGTTAAATCTTCAACTTTTTTTCATAACCAGCCATGTCTCAAACTTGCCACCATGTTAGATTTTGAAGTCATTCCAGCATGAAAAATATGTTCCGATGGTTGACAGATGACATGTTGTCAAAGTTCATCTTCAATAAACAGAGACTGTTAAGTTTGTTGCAATTTGAATACTATGTGTGATGAACTAAGGTATTCATTATTCAAGCTGAATCATTCTTGAAAGTGTTGCAAAAGGTTTTTGCCGCCTAATTTGTGCTAAATGTTGCAGTATATTTTGGCTTTAGCAACTACTTATCTGTAAGAAATCAAAATTTTGACAGAAATTGGCTATCATGCAAGATTTTATAACAATAAACGCCCAATAAAGTAGATTTCAGTTACAAAATAAAACTATCTATTGAAAGCAGTGCCTCCTAATTTGTGCTCAATGTTAAATTTTAAGGTTAAAGTTTAAATTTTGGCTTCCTTTTGTCTGTAACAACTGCTTGTCAATAAGAAATAAAAATTTCAATAGATTTTATGCAAAAATTTCTTAAATGCAGATTTCCGGTTTAGAAATAATACGGATAGATGTGATTTGTTATAAACGCTGTTTCAGTAGGGTCCATGTGATAAAGATCCCGAGTTTTTGTAATTCATGTTTTGTGAATTTTTCAACCCATATCTCCACGTTGTTATGAAGATCAGCCGTGGCCACTGTTTGTAACAGAAATGATTGAGAGTTTATCTGTATCCTTATCTTATAGCCTTTGGGAATCGCCGTCAATGCCATTGGATTGGTCCATGTGTCGTAACATAGGTCCCCGGAAGGCATAAATTACACAGTTATGTCCCTTGATAAGGAATATTATCATAGATATGAGTCACAGTTTATGGAACGTTTTTAACTGACTTATTCCTGATTTTTTTCTCTCAAAAAAAGGAATTGTCAATTAGGAGAAAATTGCCTAATTTATAATTGTTAATTATTTTCATCTTTGTCACATGGTTTTTGGGTGAGGTTGATTGACCAAAACCATTCCAACACCATTTGTAGATCTTCTATAATGATTAGATAATACTAAAAAGAAACAGGTTAATGGAAATTTATGTAAAAATAAAACCCCATTTGTTAGCAGTTAATTGAATTGGAAACAGGAGAAATGTTTTTCTGAGTAGTAATGCTGTATTCAAGGCATGATATAACTAAGATGTCGATATATTCAGAACAAAATCAGTCCATTAAAAATTTAGCTACAACTCTGGGGAATTATTACATTGTAGCATGCATGTGGATCCCTTCATTTAGTTCACAGGACACTTTTGTAGCACCGCAGATCAGAAGTTTGTTTTGTGATCAGATCCTCTTACTGCTTATTGAAACTTAATAAGCAGAATATACCTACGGGCTCAATCTTTCATTAAGAACATACTGGTTTTGAAATTGCGTTGTACCTATATTGATATTAATGTATAGAGGATATCTAACAGTGTCTTTATCAATATGTACCAAAAATTATTTCACAAATGTCACAGCACAGAGCACTGATTATGTCAAATAGGGTATAGCGTATCATGATGTTAAAGTGACTTTTTGAAGGTTGGTGGATTATGTAGGTTATGATTATATAAACGCCTTTCACTTTCTTGGTAAGGAAAGGTGCAATGTGTTTGTACTCCTGAAACATTTTCAGTTTTACAACATGCAATTTAGAAAATTGAAATCTCAAATGTCGGAGGTTTTTGAAAACAATTCTGAAGATATTGACAGAATATTTTTTAATAATATCAGATGCGGGAAAGTCTGACAATATTGTAGTTTTGTACTACGTACAGTGTATGCCGAGTAAGAGAGAGATGTTGGCAGGCCTTCATATTGCCCAGGATCCGTCAATTTCTCATTCAGTATTTATAGCAAATGTTCCCTTTTATAGTTTCTCCCCTGTGACCTTTTATGGCTGGGAAGTAATTGTCCGCCAACAGTTCCCCGTGGTTGTTCCAAGTAATCCTGGTCCGATTACCAACATCCAACACATCAGAGATAACCTGGACTCCCAACTCAAATACGGGAAAAGGTTCCAGTTTGGTGAAATCTCATCATGAAACATAGCAACACTTTTAGGTTTAAATTAAATATTTATCTGTTAATTTATTCTGGTAGATAAACATTATAGTCTGATATGGGGAAATGCACCTTAAAAGAAAAAAATAGAACTTGTTCTTAAATCAGTTCTACTTTTCAGATATTAATATAAATTACATACAATGTAAATGTGTATTTATTCAAAATGTTGTAAGAGCGTATCTAAGTGTAAAAATTCAGCGGGGTTAGACAGGAATTGGAACCCTTGACCTCAGAATGTTAAAATTCTGCTCTAACCGATTGAGGTAGCTAGTCAACGGGAGTGGTCTAGCCAAACTGTGCTACAGTTATGTCCAAACGAAAGTTAAGGGGAGGTAACTGTATATAGGGAACACCACAATTCAATGGCACAGGGATGGAAGTTAAGGGGAGGTTACCTTATATAGGGAAAACCACAGTGCAGTGAGACAGGGATGGAAGTTAAGGGGAGGTTACTGTATACAGGGAAAACCACAGTGCAATGGCACAGGGATGGAAGTTAAGGGGAGGTTACTGTATATAGGGAAAACCACTGTGCAGTGGGACAGGGATGGAAGTTAAGGGGAGGTTACTGTATGTAGGGAAAACCACAGTGCAGTGGGACAGGGATGGAAGTTAAGGGGAGGTTACTGTATACAGGGAAAACCACAGTGCAGTGGGACAGGGATGGAAGTTAAGGGGAGGTTACTGTATACAGGGAAAACCACAGTGCAGTGGGACAGGGATGGAAGTTAAGGGGAGCCTACAGTATGTAGGGAAAACCACAGTGCAGTGGCACAGGGATCCTTAATTGGCCAAATATTTAGGTCCAAGTTATATCCGGTTCAGACAGAATACACTGTAGTATCTGGTACTCTTAGTCCTGTTGGCCAGTGTCAGTAAACATGTTTCTGATCAGATGTGAGATAATGTTTGTATGTTTGAAGAGTTTCAAGAGATAATAGCTTGAACTTCAGAAGTGCAAAACTGCCTAGAAAACAGTGTTGAGATGAAAAGTTTAAGAACATAAAATTTCTTGGATATTTACAACTTAAATGTAGCAGCATTAAATGAAGTGGCACTTGTGCTGTATCAGCCCTTGGTCTTGTACGTACAAGCTTGCTTCTATAGAGAATTAAGGGATTAGGTAAAAGTGGGTAGAAATATTATACAGCCCTTAGCTTTATGGAATTAGCATTCAGTGAGATTGAAGAGCACTAGTGGACCAGTATAGGATATACATAATGTATCTGATCAGATCCTGACAATAGGCTTACATTGACCTCCATATAGAACTGCATTCACAACATTTTACATACAATCTGCGAACATACTTGTGTTAAACAGGAGAGGCTTATACCAAAAGAACACTGTTTATGATGTGCTGCGAATGACTTAATAAATGTAGACATGAAACGAAAGCATAAATGATTTTCTTCTGCCAAGCTTATGCTGTTCAATATATATTTCATACATGTTTGTCCAAACTCAATCATGTGCCTGCTTGGCTGTTGCGAGGATGTTAAACCCCAAACATAGCCATATCCAAGTTCAATACACTTTTTGTTTATGAAGAGGTTCTCAAATAATTGAAAGTTTTCTTGAAATGCGTTGAAAATTTAAAAAAAATGTGATATTCTGTAAAATAATCACTCTGAATCCATGTCAATCATTGAAGGAAATGTTTGTAAAGGTATTGGTGTAGTGTCATGTGACCTCAAAGGTCACTAAATGTACAGTTTACATTGGACAAGTTACATAAAGAGGGAGGGTCCATGCCCTTATATCGTCATACAGTATTCATAGTACACATCAAATGAAGAGAAGAGGGAGGGGCTATGCCCTTATATGGACATACAATATTCATTGTACACATCAAATGGAGAGTAGAGGGAGGGGCTATGCCCTTATATGGACATACAATATTCATTGTACACATCAACTGGAGAGTAGAGGGAGGGGCAATGCCCTTATATGGACATGCAGTATTTATTGTACACATCAAATGGAGACCATGCTCTGACATGTAAATGATGCAACAATTGAGAGTATGCTGGAATTGAGAAATGACTGTACCGAATCAATTACTGCTTTGATCACAAAAAGATAGAAAAAAATGCAAGTTGAAACAAACCCTATGAAATATTCTGTGTTCTGTTTGTGTTAATGAGAGTGCCTGGTCAGATTGCACTGGTATGTATGGATGTCGGCAAGGTATAGCTTCCTGTTGTAGGGTGTCAACCTCCCAGTCATCTCATTGCAAATGTGACTGTCTGTACATCTTGATGCGGATCAGTTCCCACTAAATTATGAAGTACAATTTTTACGAGGTTCAAGGTTAAATAGTTAAAACAGTTAGTCATTAATGAATTTTTGTATTAAGTTGCATCACGTTCTTGTATTTATGGTATATAGTAAGTGTATATATGCACTGTACTTGTAAGGTCTCGAATGAACCATTTTTCAGTGCATATGCCTTTCTAGGTGTGATTACATTCAATCTTGACAACACTTAAGAGATTGATTTTCCTTTTTTTCTGAAATTTTTGCTTTTAATTATGGAGCTGAAACAGTAAAAGCTATGTTTACTTTTTTTGAACGTATATAATGACTGATGTATTGCATTGCCCTCTAGGTCACAGAGCTTGAATTTCACTTCTTTATTAAATATCATAGATTGAAGGCAGGTTTTTACACACAATATTTTTTTCTTTTCTTTTGATAATTTAGAAATTAAGCTTGAACATTTTGTTCTTAGTTATATTACGTTTCCCCTATTACTGGTAATTGTTACTCCAGATCAACTTACTGGACAATTTTACCTATAGATTAAAATGATTTAGTTTTATTACATATTATTCCAGGTGTTCAACTATTGATTAATTTTTGTATGTTTTACCTGTGTTTCAGGTGTAATATGTGACAGGATGACATGGATTTAGTCAAGCCTCTCCCAGACCAGCCGAAAGCCCAGCCTTAGAGAGGCCCACCATGGGGGACTCGCTGCCCCGCGGTGGGGCCCCCAGGAAGGGGAAAATTGTCAACCTCCGCATCCAGTTCCTGGATGACTCCGTCCATGCATTCCAGGTCCCTGTAAGTAATATAGTCAATTCTTGTCTTATAATGTATTAACCCTTACACCACTGTGGTAAATGGTATCCTGGTCAGGAAAGCAGAGTGTTCCGGTTAGGATATATAAAAAAATGATAGGTTTTGTAAAATATCTCAGTTCATATTTGGTACATGTTTACGCCCCTGTGAATTATTATTTTAGTACAGTAAGTGTTTATTTATCCATTGGTCCTGCTGACCATCGTTCTTAACATCTTTGTTTGACTTTGTGGTTCTAATAACTAAAAGTAAAATAGTTACCAAATTTCATTTGTAGATACATCTTTATGAGGAGTACTTCACCAATAATATCGGGTGTAAATGGAATGTAGGTCACTGACCCATATTTTCAGCTTCGCTGACTTGGTGTTAAACTCTTTAGTTATACAATGCATCAGAAAATATCTAAAAGAAACTTGTAATATTGCTCGTCCTGGACAAAATGTCTGAAATCTCTGTTGAGATTTCTCTACTAACTGGTGATGGATGTTCTTATTCTGATTCAATCTTGGTTTGACACTTTAGGGGAAAATTTATATTTATTTCCAGCCTCCAGGGAACATTATATTACTCGGGAACTATTTGTGTAGTGTTGAATATTCAAATTTTTTTTTGAAAAAATGTATGTAAATTAAGACAGGAAAGCATACAAACACTACTGCCTCTTTAGCCACATTTAGTTCTATAGAATTTTGCTTCACCAACCTCAGGCTTTAATTTCAAAATAAAAGCTTTGTGATCTCAAGGTTTGCTTGTTGTTCTGTTAACTTGGAATTCATTGTAATATTTATAAGAAAATTTCTCTAGTCTTGGTAGATTTTAAATGTGTAATGTCACACTTGATTGTGTAATTTCAAAACTGCCTTGATGTTAATAAGGTGAATAGTTGAACTGGTGAAAGCTTAGCCAGACAGGCAGTGATGAGTGGGAAACCTAGATACAAGAACAGGCAACGGAGTAAGAGCTAGTAATCTATTGGTAGTAGCACCTCCAGACAGCAGGGATTGACAGAGTGTTGGTGCACTGTGCCTTGCTGTAGAGGAAAAGTCCCCATGTCTCACACAAACTAGACAATTTATCGGCCATAGACTGGGCTAGAGTTAGCTCAGCATTGACATAAACTAGGAGGCTTTGCAATGGTAAACTAGGCAGTGTGTATTGGGCATGGTATGTCCTCCTGTTTAGGTCAGGATAGACATAAAACTACCCCCATCTCTACAATCTTTCATATACTTAGAAAGAACAAGAATTTTATAAAATACAGGAAGTTTGTGCTACAAGTTCAACGAAGTTCTGTGTTACCAAGTTTTTAGGAAGTTTTATCTCTTGGATATTTGACTCTAGACTTCAACTTTTTGGATGTCTGATTCCAAAACTTTTATAATTTTGATAACTTTGAGGTCTGATTCTAAGTTTCAAACAAGTCGGAGAAAAGCTAGTAGAAGATTGCTGCTGGAAAACTCTCCACAATATCTCCTCATACTAAGCTAAAACAGTAGGCTTCACAATGGTATCTTGTATGGCTTGGAAGTTGTCCTTATTTTAAGCTTAGGATGTAGGCATAAAACAGCAGGCTTTAAAATGGTACTCTGATAGGTATAGTGGTATGTCTGCAATATTAGTTAAGAATTGGCATAAAAAATAGGGTTTATTGTACAATCTTTTAATGTTTAGCACAGGAAACAAATTCTTTTTAATCAGTAAAATTTTCTAAACCTAAGTTTCATTGTTTTTAGGTCACCTGAGCTTTAGCTCAAGTGACCTATTGCTATCCGTTTTCGTCCGTCGTCGTCCGTCGTCCGTCGTCCGTTAACATTTTACATTNAGCTTTGATTTTACTCGGGGAGTTCCATCAGTGGTGAATTTCGCCAGCACATTTGCATCAAATGCATTTGATCTCAGTCGATTTATTGAATCGGGACGAAAAATCGTAAATAAAAAACCCCACCAAGATAGCTACAGGAACGTAAGCTCGTCCAATTATCTGAAATGCATCATTGCCTACCTATACAAATTGACAGAACTAAATTACTGTGGAATCTAGGAAAAGGATGACATTTGCTAGTCAATTTGTAAATGTGCAGAGAGGCTGTGGTTTCCTGTAGAATTATATTCCGTGGACATGCACTCCACGGTGTTTGCGGGTATGGCAGATCGCGTCCTGACAAACCATTAGAAACCATAGGCTCACCAACAGGACATTCCCTAATGGACGCCTCGGAGAACTGGACAAATCGTAAGATTGATTGAGGAATTGCACTCCGATGGCTAATCCTTTTTACCTCATTTAAATTGCGGTTTTCCTTGTAAACACATAATTTACACTAAAAGTTCAGCGTTATTTCTCATCGTCAGGATAACAGGGACATTTTATTTGGATTGATACAGCATTATTTCCAGTACATTTCCTTTGTTTTGTTTTATACAGAAATGCAGGCCTGCGTAAAATTACACGATAAAATTTGTTAGAGATCGCAGTGAGGAGAGTTTAATTTGCTTCAGTGTACATGTACTCTGCTCTGGTGTCAACAAAATTTGTCAGACTCGACATGCAGATTGTTATACATCGTCTAATATATATCTTAGGCATTGAGCCAACATTTCTGTGTTATACGCAAACAAAAATTGACTATTGGATGATTAGAAGGTTGTAGACATCCAGTGGTAGGCACAAATTGTTTAATTCCTGGAAGTTCATCCAGGTTCAAATAATAAAATAAAAAATAATGTCGGCCCATGAAATAAACCGTGTTCATGTTCCTAATTTAGAAATTTTAATATCTTGAATCAGAAATCATTTTGTTTTTGTTTTCACTTAGTTATCTTGAAGGTGATAATCAGTGCAATTTGACACCTGTTGGGGCGGATAATTAAAATAAGAAACACTGTATTGCTGTAATCATACAGTTTCCTAATTTGTATGTAGGTTTTCAATCTCTTTGTATTTCCCCTGGTCTTGGTTTCATTTGTGGTGAATATTTGCATGTTCTTACCCCGTTCTTCACAGTTATAACGTAATATTAGATCCGCCTTACCTGATAGCATCTTACAAAATGGATACAGGGCCATAATTCTTAAGATATCCTTTCATGACTCATGTTAAGTTTAGAATTCATTCTAAATATACATTTTTCAATTATTTTATAACATAAATTTTATAACTGTTTGTGAGTAAGATGTTTTTGTTACCATGAATTAAATGTGTAGGGTTTAGTAACTGTTTGGTTGATTCAGTGCTCTAGAATAGGGAGGTAAATCACGCACACACAAATCCAAAGTATTTGTCGTAATCAGTGTTTCGGCATTTAGCATTTTTGGAAAGTTCTGAAAGGTCATTCTCAAAAATCAGCAGAAACAATGGATCAGTGATGGGATTCTCAGATGAGAAACCTAGTTGTTTGCTGGTAATCTGTCGACAGTAATGTATATAGTAACCATACATTGACAAGTTTGACCCAGTTTATTTGACAGTAAGTTAACTTATGTAAATAAGTTTGACCTAGTTTATTTGACAGTAAGTTAACTGTATGTACATAAGTTTGACCCAGTTTATTTGACAGTAAGTTAACTGTATGTAAATCAGTTTGACCCAGTTTATTTGAGAGTAAGTTAACTGTATGTAAATCAGTTTGGTCCAATTGACATTAAATTATCTATACTTAAATAAACTTGCCCTAGTTTATCTTGTCTAAGTTATACCATTACAAAATAAAGACTTTAATTCCATTTGTTGTGAAATTTGAAGAACTGTTTTTCTAATTTCTTTAATTAACTGTCATAGCTAATAAGTCATTGTGAAAGCTTGGGGACAACCTTTAAGATATGTTATATATTCCTCCAGTGACTGGCAATGTCAAGTAAGACTGGGAACATCAAGTGTCTTACAAACAGTAGAAGATTGTGACTTAAACAATATGTGCTTCTGTAGGTATTATAGAGAAAGTTGGCAAAATTCCAGTGTAATGTTTCAAAACAAAATTTTCTTGTCAAAATTGATCCGTTTCAAATGTTTTGATTAATTCCTATGGAACTTTACCGATATAACCCAGAGGCTGCACAAACAAACAGTACCTCATGCACGCTGCTGCAAGGTGCCGGTGATCCATCAGAGAGTAATTACCAGTGAACGTCCCGGAAATAGTGTGTCCGGTTGGAACAGGGGTACCTTGGAATAGGCAATCCTAGATAGTGTGTCCGGTTGGAACAGGGGTACCTTGGAATAGGCAATCCTAGATAGTGTGTCCGGTTGGAACAGGGGTACCTTGGAATAGGCAATCCTAGATAGTGTCTTCTGTTGGAACAGGGGTACCTTGGAATAGGCAATCCTAGATAGTGTCTTCTGTTGGAACAGGGGTACCTTGGAATAGGCAATCCTAGATAGTGTCTTCTGTTGGAACAGGGGTACCTTGGAATAGGCAATCCTAGATAGTGTGTTCGGTTGGAACAGGGGTACCTGGGAATAGGCAATCCTAGATAGTGTGTTCGGTTGGAACAGGGGTACCTTGGAATAGGCAATCCTAGATAGTATGTTAACAAAGATCTTGTTGAATTTACAATTATACAGTTCTTATACACTTAATTATAACCAAAAAAATCTCTCAGAATTCAAAAGAGAAAATTTCTTGTTAAAATATTTAATATACATCGTCAGAGTGTGATCTCCAGTTAGAATATATATCTTTTACTAATTTCGTTACAAATACTATGTTTTGACAAGATTTTGAAATAGGGTTAGTACAAATGTACTGTATAATGTACTGGGAACAACGTTTGGTTTTGTATGAAATGAAGCAGGTTTTCTTTTGAAAAATGGAGCTTACTTGAACTTTTTGGATTGGATGCACTTTTAGTAATAGTGTTTCCCTCACTGATGCCAGCCGTTTTTTCTGTCTTTTATCAGGAATAGTTTTGACATTATTTGAACGATTACCTCTGTATGTAATCCATCTTCCATTCCTGTCTAATGCATTGTATGTTTTCTA